GGCTCGGGAGGAGGGATTATAAGTGAACTTTTTCTGTTTCATCAGGCCGAAGGGAAGGTTGGTTGATGGGCCAAGCCCACGAGCGGGAGGGGCTGAGGAGGCGGCTAACCAGGTCGCCGCTGACTCGGTCAAGCGGGCCCGGCCGCTGAGGTGGCGGCCACAGGAAAGGATTGGGGAGGTCGAGGGGGTCCCGAGGAAGGCAATGGCGAGCGGGCTTGAAGAGAGGGAGACCGACGGTGGCGCACAGCCGGGTGCGGCATCGGCGAAGCTCGCCGCGGCTGCTCACGCAGCGGCGCCAAGCGGCGGTGGCGAGAGCTACACGATGCGGAAAAGGAAAGGGGGTGCCAACGGGAGGGAGGAGCCGAGGAGCTCACTGTTGAGCGGGGAACGGCGTCGCCGGACTTCAGTGATGGGAAGGGGAGGAAGGCCGATGGCGGCGCATGGACGAGCAGCGGCGCACGGCGACGAACACGATGCCGAGGTGGCATGGTGCCGCGGCGGGCGCGCCGGGAAAGGGGTCGGAAGCGTGTGGGAACGACGTCCTTGGTCGCGGCGGTGGCGTTCTTGGCCGAGACGATGAAGGAGGTGGCGGTGCTCTGGGGTTGGCCGCGCGACGGCCACCGGGGTCGAGGGAGGAGGCGGTAGTACTCCGTTTCAAGGAGCACGGGGTGAAGGGCAAAGGATTGTGGGCATGGGGTTGGGATTTTATAGGTGAAGAGGCGCTTGGCTGGCGACAGCGGCGGTTTCGTGGGCGGTGGGAAAGCGGCGACGACGTGGATGCATTGGGCGACGAAGGCGGTGGACCTTGCGGTGGGAATCGAACCGCGAGCGCGGGCTAGCACGGTCAAGGTGGGGGCGGCGAGCTGGCATGGTCGCGGTGGTGGCGTGGGCGCGGTAGGGCGCAAAGGCGGCGTCAGCGGCACCCTGTGTCCGCTCCCGCACCAGGACAAGGGAGAGAGCGAGGCGGCCTTGCCCGTAAGGGATAAAGCGAAAGGAGGAGGAGGAAAGGGAGCCTTGCTCCTTCCGTTTTGGGGGGGAAGAAAGATGAGAGCACGAGCCCAGCCTCACGTCTTTGGACGCATGCGGCATGGAGTGGCGAGGGCCATGGATGACGTCGGCGATGACGGCGGCGGGCGGTTTGTCATGGAGTAGGGGCAAGGCGGCAGCACGTGGCGTCGGTGGCGCAAGGGCTGATGGCGGCGGCGGCCAGTCGGTCGGCCACCTCGCGAGCGAGCGCGCGCGCGACGCGGGGGTGCGGCCGGATTTCGAACAGCGGTGGCGGGAAATCGGCGCCGGGGAGAGGGAGTTCGACGAGGGAGAGAGTGAGAGATACAGAGAGAGAGAGAGCGAGCACCCTCGCTCAGAGCGGCGCACGAGCGAGGCACGCGAGGGAGGAAGGAGCGGCTGAGGGAGAGAGATGGGCCGAGAGGAGGGGATGGGCCGGGAGAGAGAGGAATCAGCCCATCGACAAGGGAGGCAAAATAGACTTTTGCTGAAAGATTTTGATTTGGAGAGATTTGGAGTTTGGGCTTTGAATCTAAATTTGATACTTTGTACACAAGGGTTCAAGGAGTCAAGGAAGGAAACAAAATGGGAGTTTGGATATTTTGGGATTCGGAAATGTATTTGGCGAGGATTCAAAGGAAGGGATTGACTTTCGGAATTAGATTTCGGAGACTTGAATTGGTAGAGGAAATTTGAGGCGGGGGATTTTGATTTCGATGAGAGGGAACAACGGGATTTGAATTGAGATCCACGGCACGACTTAGACTCGCACTCAAAGGACAAAATTTTTCACAATTAGGATTTGCCGAATTAGTTTTTAACATCTCACGAGAAGTGGAGCGTTACAATGTATCTACGAAATTAGTAGATTAATTAATAAGTCAATCCACTAATTACCTTTTAGCCAAATTGAATTGTACTCCACAATTAGCACGTCTAGATGGCACCTATGTACGCATGCAAGCATACCTATGGCTAAAAAAGCCTTCGGTACACGCCGTGCATTACTGTACATGGTTCCCACCGCATACATGCTTAATACATGTGTAGATGCAGTCGGCCAGCTGATTGATTGGCGGGTAGACGACGTGTAGTTGACCCTGGTCCGGCGGTAATTCGTCAAGGTCTTCCGCGACGGCGACGTCTTGAAGCTTGGTCGATCTCGCCTGATCGAATAGTCGATGGTGATGATTCTGATCTCGTCGGAAGATGTATTTGGACAGGTTGGATCTCCCAGAGCCGAAGTTGTCGAGTAACTTGTTGTCGGAGAATCCATCGTTTGAACCCATCTCGTCGAAATCCTAGAGCACCAAAATCCCCCTACCTGGCGTGCCACTGTCGACGTTTGATGTCTCGACTACGGTATTTGGACAGTATGGGGATCGTTGGTGCTAGGATATATGCGAGACTGAGGTAAAAGAGATGGAGACAGGGATTTTTATACAGGTTCGGGCCCCTGAGTTGTCAGGTAATAACCCTACATCCTGTTGGCCGAAGCCGGTATTGCTCTTATTCACCATAATCACACCAGTACAATATGTGGGCAGCCTATCTAACTGTTATCGACATGTTGGTCTGAAAGTCTGACTCATAGTCGACAACAAGGTAGTCTTCCTCCTCGAATCCGTGCCCGGCGAGATCAGAGATAGCGCTTTCGTATCTCCTGACGGTATCCGGAGATACCGTAGGGGAATAGCCATGCCTATCCCTGAAGTCGATATCCGGCAGCGTGTCTTGGCGTATATAGGCTTGTATGTGGATTGTGTTGGGCGTTGATGAGGTGGTCGTCCCGATCGTGGTGATCGTGTTGATCGTCTCATGGTGGGTGTCCCCCCTGTCCTCCTAGGGGGGCTTGTATTTATACCCATAGGTGTCCTCTTGTCCAAGTAGAACTAGGGAAACCAATATGGATACAATCCGAGTAGTCCTTGTCGTTTCCATGTAGAACTCTAGTTGTCTTTCCTTATCCGGAACTCCCTCCATATCTGAAGTCGGTTTCCGTATAGGACATGGTATGTGGTGGGTCATGCCGAGATTTAGTCAACTATTATTAGGTATGTGGTATCCATAACCATGACAACATTGTGATAGTAGTCCATATAGTAGTCTTTAACATGAGCTACCCATATGCATAATGCCCACCCATAAGAATAAAATAGCAATACTTTCTCTTCTCTCTCTCATCTTCTCTCTCACATGCCATGCAATTGAGTGGGACCAGTGGGACCCAGGCTAATGTCTTCTCTTATCATATACATTGTAGCAAACACTATAACTAATACCGGGTCCTACCTTATTATCCAAGTAGACCTTATACATTGAGCATGCCCTTACTACTCCATCCAGATTATAAATCGTTTTGACTTTGATCAAAGTCAAGCTGCTTCAAGATTAAATAAGTTTGTAGACAAATATAGTATAATATTTACGACACCAAATTCGATTCGTCAAATCGATAATTGAATATCTTTTCATAATATATTTTGTCTTGGGTTGAAAATGTTTCTATTTTTTTCTATGAGCTTAATTAAATTTGAAATAGTTTAATTTTGACAACAAATTTAAACGACTTGTGTAACCTAATACGGAGGAAGTACTACCCAACGCTGGTAGGAGAACCCGCCACGCCATGGGACAGACGCGAGGTTTGGCTTTCGCCTGCTCTGCCCGCTCCCTCCAAAGTCCAACCTAAATTCGTGGTCATGGCGTTCTTTTTTCGTGCAGCGTTGTCACAAGACTTGGAAGTATCATGACCAGTTTTTTTTTTTAAAAAAAGAAAACTTTATCATGATCAGTTGAACTGGCCATGAGATATTCAGCTTTCGACTAGTCCCTTCACCGTCTATTTCCATTGGTCTGAATCAAGACTTAAACAGCTTCATTTCTTCCAATCCCCAAAGGTGTTGATAGCAATGGAATTAAACTCTAACTACACAAGTCAGTTTCATATCTGCATTATGAATTTATGATATAATTTGACTCATGAGTCGTGACAATCAAACGAATCAGAAATCCTAAGGTTCATTATGGTCTACTTTTCTCATCTCCTGCGGCTGGTCTCGGTCGCCGAACTGATGATCGGCTGACACCAGGAAAGCCACAGTTTCCATCAAATAATCAGATTTTCCATTTGAGGTTGAAAAACAAATTAAGTAGAGATAATACATAAATATACTATAAACTTTGAAACCAATCATACGTGTAAGGGTTTATTTATATTGATGCCATTTTAATTCATATCAGGTAAATTCGATAAATATATGGATTCATTTAGTTTGTTACGGAACATTGGTAATGCATATGAAAATTTAATAATATTGTCAACTTATCAAAGTTTTGGTATTACCAACTTTTGAAAAGGTTGATTTTGTGAGTAGTTTGAACACCCTTAAATGTGTGCACTATCATAGTAACTTGGCTAGTACGTTATATTCAGAATCAAATTACCATGGGCGCACTTTCCAAGGCGTTAAATAGGGAAAACTGTTTTAACAGCTCGAATGGATGTTTATTGCATGTCATCTAAATGGTTATGAAAAAAATTAAAAAAATATGAACAAGATAGATCAATATGTAATATATCAATCCACAAACATGCAAGATAAAATTCAACTTCTACAAATTGTAACAAAAATAACAAACAAAACTCAAATTATTACATATATATTTACAATTAAATTTGTTATTTTTGTTACAGCTTGTAGAAGTTGAATTTAAACTTGTATGTTTATGGAGTGATATAATACATATTGATCTATCTTGTCAATTTTTTTAAAAATTTTTCATAACTATCTAACTGACATGCAATAAACTCCGCTGCTTTGCAACTTATCCGTATGGACTCATGCATCTTTCTTCTCTACAGTTTCCGCTGCTTTGCAACTTATCCGTATGGACTCATGCATCTAGCTAGCTAGTCAATCGTGGGATATTAATTACTGTGTTGGAAGTTAGAACGCGTTTGAATTCCTCCTACACGGGCACTAGATTCCGTGTATGTATGATACTTGTGAGGCCAACCTGTTCCCGTGCACTGTAGTCCGTGAACAATTCTGGGCAAGGACGTGCAAGAAAAACTCACCCGTTATGGAAGCAGCAACCGCCAACATTTTCCACCTTAGCCTCACCTTCTTCTTCATGGTCCTCCTTACTCTCGGAACATCTGCCGCCGGCGTTGCATCGGACACTCTGAGCAATGGCCGCAACCTCACTGACGGCAACACGCTCGTGTCGGCCGGTGGCTCCTTCACTCTGGGCTTCTTCTCACTCGGCTTGCCAAACAGGAGATACCTCGCGATATGGTTCTCCGAGTCCGCGGACGCCGTCTGGGTGGCCAACCGTGACAGCCCACTGAACGACACCGCCGGCGTACTGGTTAACAATGGCGCGGGCGGGCTCGTCCTACTCGACGGCTCCGGCAGGGCCGCCTGGTCGTCGAACACGACTGGCAAGTCTTCATCAGCGACGGCGGCGCAGCTGCTGGAGTCCGGAAACCTCGTCGTGCGCGAGCGCGACCAGCTGAACACCGGTGTCTTCATCTGGCAGTCGTTCGATCACCCGTCGAACACACTGATCGCCGGCATGAGGCTCGGCAACAACCGGCAGACCGGCGACGCGTGGTTCCTCTCGTCGTGGCGCGCGCACGACGACCCGGCGACGGGAGACTGCCGCCGCGTGCTGGACACGAGGGGGCTCCCGGACTGCGTCACGTGGTGCGGCGGCGCCAAGAAGTACCGGACGGGGCCATGGAACGGGCAGTGGTTCAGCGGCGTCCCGGAGATGGCGTCGTACGAATCCATCTTCTCGAGCCAGGTGGTGGTCACGCCCGACGAGATCGCCTACGTCTTCACCGCCGCCGCCGCCGCCGGCTCCCCCTTCTCCCGCCTCGTGCTGGACGAGGCCGGCGTGACCGAGCGCCTCGTGTGGGATCCCAGCAGCAAGGTGTGGATCCCGTACATGAAGGCACCGCGCGGCGTGTGCGACGACTACGCCAAGTGCGGCGCGTTCGGGCTGTGCAACGAGGACACCGCGTCGACGCTCTTCTGCAGCTGCATGGCGGGGTTCAGCCCGGTGTCCCCCTCGCGGTGGTCCATGAGGGATACCTCCGGTGGGTGCCGGAGGAACGCGCCGCTGGAGTGCGGCAACGGGAGCACCACGGACGGGTTCGTGCCGGTGCGCGGCGTGAAGCTCCCCGACACGGACAACGCCACGGTGGACACGGGCGCCACGCTTGACGAGTGCAGGGCGAGGTGCTTGGCCAACTGTTCCTGCGTCGCCTACGCCGCCGCGGACATCAGCGGCCGCGGCTGCGTCATGTGGATCGGCGACATGGTTGATGTTCGTTATGTGGACAAAGGGCAGGACTTGCATGTGAGATTGGCAAAGTCTGAACTAGGTACACATGACTATCACAAAATTGCACGCATGTGCATTCATTTGCCTGAAACTAATGGGTTCAGCAATTAATTACTTTATGGTTTTCTCGGTGAAAATTTTCTTCCCATTCAGTTAACAATAAGAAGAGGACTGTGGTAAAAATTATGCTCCCACTTACAGCAGCATGTTTGCTTCTGCTGATGAGCATATTCCTTGTATGGTTATACAAGTGCAGAGGTAATACTCGCAGCTTATATCCTCTACTCCTACTAGAGCTAATATTAACACACTATATATATTTGTAGTCCTGTCAGGCAAACGTCATCAGAATAAGGTTGTCCAGAAGAGAGGGATTCTAGGATACTTGAGTGCATCAAATGAACTTGGAGATGAAAATTTAGAGCTCCCGTTTGTTAGTTTTGGAGAAATTGCTGCTGCCACAAACAATTTTTCTGATGACAACATGCTCGGACAAGGGGGCTTCGGGAAGGTTTACAAGGTACAAAATAAGTTCTATCTTGAGAATTACAATAGGGACAAAAACTAACATATATAATACTATAATTTTTAACTAATAATATAGTTAATATAGGCTAAAACAACTAGAGATTGAAATTTTACCTAGGGTCTCGTGACCCCGTATAGTATGCTGTAGGAACTAGGAACTAGGAAGTAGCATGTCAAAAAAAAAAGGAACTAGGAAGTAGGAATGCCCCTGCAGTGTACTGATAAATTAGCAGAGAGATTTTTACCATCCCAAATATGGAGGTACCTCAAATTAACATTAAGACTGTAGTACCTTTTCAGACTTCAGTCTTTAGGAACTGTAAAACCACTCATTTACAAATGAACAGCCTTCTTAATAAAAAAAATAAAGTGATTAAATTATGCAGGGAATGCTAGATGACGGCAAAGAAGTCGCAATTAAAAGGCTTAGCAAGGGTTCTGGCCAAGGAGCAGAAGAGTTCAGAAATGAAGTTGTTCTAATTGCCAAACTGCAGCATAGAAACCTCGTTAGACTTCTTGGTTATTGTATATACGGAGATGAGAAGCTGCTAATTTACGAATACTTGCCAAACAAAAGCTTGGATGCTTTCATTTTTGGTACTGTTCAGATTTATATACTACAGTATTGCATAAACTTATCATATGATCCAAAGAAACTTGGCTGCATACTTAATAATAACATAGTTTACCATTCTTATAGATCATGCAAATAAATATGTTCTTGATTGGCCAACAAGGTTCAAGATAATCAAAGGAGTAGCTAGAGGACTTCTTTATCTCCACCAAGATTCAAGGTTAACTGTAATTCATAGAGATCTCAAACCAAGCAATATCTTATTGGATGTTGATATGAGTCCTAAGATATCAGATTTTGGTATGGCAAGAATCTTTGGAGGCAACCAGCATGAAGCAAATACTAACAGAGTTGTTGGAACATAGTGAGTCATTCATGCATTAATGTTCACAATGTTTATTTGCTCGAATCTTTACTTACTGCTAAATCATTAAGCAGCGGTTACATGTCTCCTGAATATGCAATGGATGGCGCCTTTTCAGTCAAATCCGACACATATAGCTTTGGTGTTATACTCTTAGAGATTGTAAGTTGCCTGAAGATTAGCTTGCCTCGGCTGACGGACTTCCCCAATTTGTTAGCTTATGTAAGTATGGTGGAATGCTTTATCTCTACAATTCAGATTAATTGTACTAATTTTATATGGACTTGATTCCACTGTTTCAGGCATGGAACTTGTGGAAGAACGACAGGGCGATGGATTTGATGGACTCATCCATTTCTAAGAGTTGCTCACCAACTGAAGTTTTACTATGTATCCAAATAGGTCTATTGTGCGTGCAAGATAATCCAAATAATAGACCACTCATGTCTTCGGTTGTGTCCATGTTGGAGAACGAGACCACAACGCTTTCAGCTCCTATACAGCCTGTGTATTTTGCACATAGGGCCTTTGAAGGCAGACAAACAGGTGAAAATAGCATCAGCTTATTAGAGGGACGGTAGGTGTTTATGTTATTTTTCTGCACGCTAAGTGCTTCCTTTAGGAGCACATGGTGAAACATGTATAATTGATATTTGGAGAGGAGTAGGACCGTAACATATGTGGCATACAATTGCATTTTTTGTGATGATAAAATTGATTATTTACCATCGATTTTGTTCCTCGGTACCCAAACTTTGAGCCATCGCACCGGAAACGAGTTAAGAAGACACACCCGTAACCCATTGATCTCGACTTGAAATCGGGTTCTTGTCAACATGGGCTTGGCGTCCTTGTGGGCATTAGCGGGCCGTATTTGTTCTGGCAGAATTGAACTAGATGACACAGGAACCATTCGAGGAAAGGGCTCTCATCCTTCATCCTCTTCCTCTCATCTCCTCACAGGACCAAGCTTGGCCTCCCTCCCATTGAAGGGAAGCCCTTGCCATGCTTATTGGATTTTGTTCCAACAAACTTGGTGTTAAATAATTGAGAAGAATGTATGATTGTGTTAAGAATCAAATATAGAACCTCAGGGGTGAAACCATACATCCATGATACTGTGTGAACAAGTGTATATCCCGATGAACTTTCTTAATAAAAATTAAAGTGATTAAATTGTGCAGGGCATGCTAGGCGGTAACAAAGAAGTGGCCATTAAAAGGCTTAGCAAGCATTCTGGACAAGGAGTAGAAGAGTTCAGAAATGAAGTGGTCCTTATTGCCAAATTGCAGCACAAAAATCTAGTCAGGCTTCTTGGTTGCTGCATTCACGGAGAGGAAAAGCTTCTCATATATGAATACTTGCCCAACAAAAGCTTGGATTACTTCCTTTTTGGTATGTCCTAATCATATATTCCTTTTTTACCTTTTCTTTTTCCACGTTTGGTGGAAGACTGTTACCAAAAGGCCATGTGTGAACAACTATAAGTATCGTTTTATATTGTTCACGGTAGATGATTCAAAAAAGTCTATGCTTGACTGGCAAACACGGTTCAACATAATCAAAGGAGTAGCTAGAGGACTTGTTTATCTCCACCAAGATTCGAGGATGACAATAATTCACAGAGATCTCAAAGCGAGCAACATTTTATTGGATGAGGGGATGAGCCCCAAAATATCAGATTTTGGCATGACAAGGATCTTTGGTGGCAACCAGCATCAAGCAAACACTAGACATGTAGTCGGGACATAGTGAGTAACTATTGCACTACTTATGATTACAATACTAACTTTTATATACTTGGAAAACACTTAAATAACTTACACTCGTTGGTGACATGATTCATATAGTGGTTACATGTCTCCTGATATGCAATGGAAGGCATCTTCTCTGTCAAGTCTGACACCTACAGCTTTGGTGTTTTAGTTTTGGAACTTATAAGCGGCTCTAAGATAAGCTCTCCTCATCTTATAATGGGTTTTCCAAATCTTATAGCCTGTGTAAGTGTGTAAGTTCTAAGAAATATCAAAATGCATAAAGTTTCAATAGCTAGGATTTTGCACTAATTAGGAACTTTGTTCCCTTGGTTCAGGCATGGAGCTTGTGGAAGAATGGAAAGGCAGAGGATCTCGTGGACTCAATTATTCTGCAGATATATTCACTTAATGAGTTTTTGCTCTGTATCCATGTAGGACTGTTATGCGTTCAGGAAGACCCAAATGCTAGACCACTCATGTCATCAGTTGTGGCCATGCTCGAGAATGAAGCCACAACACTTCCTACTCCTAAGCAACCTGCATATTTTGTGCCAAGGAATTGCATGGCAGGAGGGGCAAGAGAGGATGCCAACAAGTCTGTGAACAGTATAAGTCTTACCACACTACAAGGACGTTAGATGTTTAATTTCAGATTTAGCTGGCTGTAGAATTCACCACTTGATCAATTGTGCAAGAACCTAGGAATTCGATTGCTTTGTGGGTGTATGGTTCATTTTCAATGGTTTACAAAAAAAAAAAAGAAGGAAAGTCTCTTGGGGTAATCCCTGTCGTCTCCTTGCGTAACGCAAACAACTTCCTTGATCCTTCAGTAGTCTCCATCAATTGTTCTTGAGCATAAATCGTTGATCCTCCAACCTTCATGTTGTCGTCTACAGAAATAGTTGTAGTAAGTTTTCTGTTGTGCACAAGCGTTCAAGCGTCGATATTTCTAGTTGCGAGGTTGTCCCGGTGCCACCGAGCCAGCCAGCCAGCCACAAACTGCACAAGTTAGCATCACAACACTGAGTACTAATACCAGCTACGCCTATGCTCTCGTCAGGCCACTTCACCGTAGTCTCCCCACAGTTCAGTTTGAATTCGTAGCAAAACTTTATCTCGACGGACAGAATAGTCTCGGCCATTCGTTATTACGCTGCTTCCTTTGGTCCAACCGCGTGCTCCTCAAGAGTCAAGAGTCAAGACTCAGGAGAATCATGTATGCATCAGATAATTAAACACCCATATGTGTGTGTGCTATTTCTCTACGCTTTGCAGGCAACTAGGCAAAGCTAAGAACAAGACCAAATGAATGGTATGGCTTGCTTCCCTCTTTTCATCTTCTCATTCTGCAAGTGCGATGATCAGCTGACACAAGCAAAGAAACTCTACCCTGGCGACGTGCTCGTCTCCCAGAACGGGGTTTTCGCACTCGGCTTCTTCTCCCCAGCAACTTCCAACCAGAGCTTATTCCTCGGCATATGGTACAACAACATCCCAGAGCGCACATACGTTTGGATTGCCAACCGTGACAAGCCGATCACTGCCCCTTCATCTGCGATGCTCGCCATCAGCAATAGTTCTAACTTTGTATTGTCAGATTTAGAAGGCCACACCTTTTGAACGACGATGGCCAACATCAACACCAGAGGTGACCGAGCTTATGCAGTGCTGCTAGACTCAGGAAACTTGGTTCTTCGGCTGCCGGACAATACAACCGCATGGCAAAGCTTTGATCACCCAACTGATACCCTTCTCCCCAACAAGAAGTTTTTCCTGAGATACAAGGCACAAGTCGCCATGCGACTTGTCGCTTGGAAGGGACCGAATGACCCATCCACCGGGGACTTCTCCTACCACAGCGACCCCAGATCAAACCTTCAGGCCTTCATCTGGCACGGGACCAAGCCATATTACCGTTTCATTGCACTTTCACTTAATAGAGTGTTAGTGTCCGGTGAAGCATACGGGAGCAACATTGCCACTTTGATGTACAAATCACTTGTGAACACTAGGGATGAGTTGTACATTATGTACACAACCTCTGATGGCTCCCCATACACACGAATCAAGCTTGACTACATGGGCAACATGAGGTTCCTGAGTTGGAACGGGAGCTCATCGTCCTGGACAGTCATCTCTCAACAGCCAGCGGCCGCTGGTGACTGCAATCTCTACGCCTCATGTGGCCCATTCGGCTACTGCGACTTCACATTGGCCATCCCCAGATGCCAGTGCCTTGATGGATTCGAGCCAAGTGATTTCAACTCTTCGAGAGGATGTCGAAGAAAGCAACAGTTGGGATGCGGAGGTAGGAACCATTTCGTGACCATGTCTGGAATGAAGCTCCCTGACAAGTTCTTGCAAGTCCAGAACAGAAGCTTCGAGGAGTGCATGGCCAAGTGCAGCCACAACTGCTCATGCATGGCCTACGATTATGCTTATGGCAACTTGACCAAAGCCGACACCATGTCCGATCAGTCAAGGTGCTTGCTCTGGACTGGGGATCTTGCTGACATGGCGAGGGCAAGCCTTGGTGACAACCTATACCTCCGGTTAGCCGACTCTCCTGGTATGCTCACCATTTCTTCCCCTGCAGAGACAACAAAATCTTAGATAGTCTGCACATCAAATTAAAAGCAACATCCATGCATACTTATGGTTTAGAAATTCTCATAATTTTGTTTACTTCTCTTGATAGGACACACTTCTGAAGATAAGAAAAAGAACAGATATCTAGTGGTGGTTTTAGTCACAATTATTCCATGCCTGCTGATGCTCACATGCATATACCTTGTCAGGAAATGGCAATCAAAAGGTATGGCAAGGGCCGTTACTTATGAATTCATAGTATGATGTCTTCCTGTAATTGTACTGACAGCATCGGTGTTATTAGGCAAACGGAGAAACAACAAAAATCAGAACAGAATGCTGCTAGGAAACCTTAGATCTCAAGAACTAATTGAGCAGAATTTAGAATTTTCACATGTTAATTTTGAATACGTTGTCGCGGCAACAAACAATTTCAGCGATTCCAACATTCTTGGAAAAGGAGGTTTCGGTAAGGTTTATAAGGTAAACAATTCAGGCTGACAATCACAAACACTGGAGAATCCTACAATATTTTATAAATTTAAAATGATTGTATTACACAGGGGAAATTGGAAGGCGGGAGAGAAGTTGCTGTCAAAAGGCTCAACACAGGTTGCACACAAGGGATAGAGCATTTTACAAATGAAGTTGTTCTTATTGACAAATTGCAGCACAAAAATCTAGTTAGGCTTCTTGGCTGCTGTATTCATGGAGATGAAAAGCTTCTTATTTTTGAATATTTACGCAACAAAAGCTTGGATTACTTTCTTTTTGGTACGCCTAATCATATATTCATTTTCCCTTTATCACTTTTGGTGGGAGAGGTGCCTGAACAACTTTAAGTCTTGTTTCATACTGTTCATGGTAGATGATTCAAAAAAGCCTATACTTGATTGGCAAACAAGGTTCAACATAATCAAAGGAGTAGCCAGAGGTCTTGTTTATCTCCACCAAGATTCAAGAATGAGAGTAATTCACAGAGATCTCAAAGCCAGCAATATTTTATTGGATGAGGAGATGAGCCCCAAAATATCAGATTTTGGTATGGCAAGGATCTTTGGTGGCAACCAGCATCAAGCAAACACTAAACATGTAGTCGGGACATAGTGAGTAACTCTTGCACTACTTATGATTAAAATACTAAATTTTATATACTTGGATACTTTCAAATTACCCACACTTCTTGTTATTGGTGGCACGATTCAAACAGTGGTTACATGTCTCCTGAATATGCAATGGAAGGCATCTTCTCTGTCAAGTCTGACACATATAGCTTTGGTGTTTTAGTCTTGGAACTTATAAGTGGTTGTAAGATCAGCTCAACTCATCTTATAATGGATTTTCCAAACCTTATAGCCTGTGTAAGTTCTATGAAATATTGAGATGAACAAAATTTCAACAGCTAGGATTTAGCACTGATTAGGATATCTCCTCTCTTTGTTCAGGCATGGAGCTTGTGGAAAGATGGAAAGGCAGAGAAATTTGTGGACTCAATTATTCTGGAGTGCTATTCGCTTAATGAGTTTTTGCTCTGTATCCATGTAGGACTGTTATGCGTTCAGGAAGACCCAAATGCTAGACCACTCATGTCATCAGTTGTGGCCATGTTCGAGAATGAAGCCACAACACTTCCTACTTCTAAGCAACCTGCATATTTTGTGCCAAGGAATTGCATGGCAGAAGGGGCAAGAGAGGATGCCAACAAGTCTGTGAACAGTACAAGTCTTACCACACTACAAGGACGTTAGATGTTTAAATTTCAGATATAGCTGGCTGTAGAATTCACCACTTGATCAATTGTGCAAGAACCTAGGAATATGATTGCTTTGTGGGTGTATGGTTCATCTTCAATGGTTTACAAAAAAAAAAAAAAGGAAATTCTTCCATAAGCAATTTCGCTCAATTATTGGTGAGTTGGAAGTTTCTGCACTAGGCGATTAAGAAAAAAGAGAGTGGAGAATTGAAACCACTGTGCTCAAAACTAGGTAAGCTAAAAGAGAGCAGTAAAGACTACGATTACTTGCCTTTCCTTCAAAAAAATATATATATAACTTGGGATAAAAATCATAATTGGTTTTAATACCTATTGTACTTCTTCAAATGGAGAGTGGCAGCATCAAGGGCCTGTGACACCACGTGGAGCCATGGAACGCACGTGAGGTTTCGCTTTTGCCTGCACTAGCCTATCACTCCAAAGTCCATGGCAGCAGCATTCTTTCGTTTTCGTGCAGCATTGTCACACGACTTGGAGTATCATGACCAGGTGACCTGGTCATCAGAATTCAGACAGGGTCCTTTACTGTCTCTGTCCATGAGTCTGAATCAGGACTTAGCCATCTCACATTTCTCCTGATCTTCAGATGAGGTGACAGCAAGGGAATTGAACTCCAACTACACCAGTCCATATCTGCATTATGAATGAAAGATATAACTTGACCCATGACAAGCAAACGAAGCAGAAAGTCTAACAGGCAATATGGTCTATTTTCTCATGTTCCTCCTGCTGCTCTCGATTCCTCTATGCAAAACCGATGACCAGCTGACACTGGGAAAGCCAATCTTTCCCAGCGAGATGCTCATCTCCAAGGGCGGCATCTTTGCCCTCGGCTTCTTCCCCCCGGCCAACTTCAGCAATAGCCTCTATGTTGGAGTCTGGTTCCACAACATCCCCCAGCGCACCGTTGTGTGGGTTGCCAACCGCGACAACCCAATCACCACCCCTTCGTCAGCGACCCTTGCCATCACCAACAGCTCAGGCATGGTGCTGTCGGACTCCCAAGGCCACATTCTTTGGACAACCAAGATCAGCGTCACCGGAGCCTCCGCCGTGCTGCTCGACACGGGGAACTTCGTTCTCCGGTTGCCAAACGGCACCGACATATGGCAAAGCTTCGATCACCCGACTGATACCATCCTCGCAGGCATGATGTTCTTGATGAGCTACAAGTCCGAGATCATCGGACGCCTCACTGCGTGGAGGAGCCATGATGACCCATCCACTGGAGATTTCTCCTTCAGCCTCGACCCCAGCTCGGACCTCCAGGGCATGACCTGGAACGGGACCAAGCCATACTGCCGTAACGGCGTCAGAACCAGCGTGACGGTGTCCGGCGCCCAGTATCCGAGTAACAGCAGCTTATTCATGTATCAAACACTCATCGACTCAGGGAACAAGCTCTACTACTCATACACTGTCTCCGACAGCTCCATCTACACACGCCTCACACTTGACAGCACGGGCACGATGATGTTCCTGAGCTGGGACAACAGCTCGTCGTCATGGATGTTGATCTTCCAGCGCCCCGCCGCCGGCAGCTGCGAGGTCTATGGCTCGTGCGGCCCGTTTGGCTACTGCGACTTCACGGGGGCCGTCCCGGCGTGCCGGTGCCTCGATGGGTTCGAGCCTGTAGATCCCAGCATCTCGCAATCAGGATGCCGGAGAAAGGAAGAGCTGAGATGCGGAGAGGGCGGTCACCGCTTCGTGTCATTGCCTGACATGAAGGTCCCCGACAAGTTCTTGCAGATCCGGAACAGGAGCTTCGACCAGTGCGCGGCCGAGTGCAGCAGCAACTGCTCTTGCAAGGCATATGCTTACGCCAACTTGAGCAGTGGCGGCACCATGGCTGACCCGTCAAGATGCTTGGTTTGGACAGGGGAGCTTGTCGACTCAGAGAAGAAGGCCAGCCTTGGTGAGAACCTGTACCTCCGCCTTGCTGAGCCTCCTGGTAAGCAAAATTTCACACTGTCGCCTCGTTTTCAGATAGTGGCAATGCTCATGATATTATATGAGAGTTCCTATAAAAAAATGTAGTTATATGAACACTTAACTTTCCAAGTTATGCTCCATGCCATAACACTAACATCTGAGGTGTACATTTCTGCAGTTGGAAAGAAAAACAGGTTACTGAAGATTGTTGTTCCGATAACAGTATGCATGCTGCTACTCACATGCATAGTCCTTACCTGGATATGCAAGCACAGAGGTAGATGATATAAGGCCTTGTCTTCCAAATGTAAAGCTACTTCGTAATTTGAAAGATAAATGCATTGACAATGACTTACGGTTCTTGAGATAGCACTGGTGCCTCGACACTATAGAGATACCGGGAATTTACACTAAAATTGTATAGTGCCTCCAGATGGTACCTTCTTAAGTATATTGTAAAAATCTCATGTGTTGAACTTTATCAGGGAAACAAAACAAGGAAATCCAAAAGAGACTGATGCTAGAATATCCGGGCACCTCCAATGAACTTGGAGGTGAAAATGTGAAATTTCCATTTATTAGCTTTGGAGATATTGTGGCTGCAACAGATAATTTCTGTGAGTCCAATCTACTTGGAAGGGGAGGCTTTGGCAAAGTTTACAAGGTAAGAAAGAGTACTAAATTTATCTACATCATAACACGTTTTGAAACTATATAAAATATTACTGCCCCAGCGTTTCCCTATTTATATTGATGACAACATGAAGGGAATATTGGAGGGAGGCACGGAAGTTGCTGTCAAAAGGCTTAATGAGGGTTCTGGACAAGGCATTGAAGAGTTTAGGAATGAAGTGGTTCTAATTGCAAAACTGCAGCACAGGAACCTAGTTAGACTTCTTGGTTGCTGCATTCATGAAGATGAGAAGTTACTGATCTATGAATACTTGCCTAACAAAAGCTTGGACGCCTTCCTTTTTGGTGTGTTATGACTTTCTATCCCATTGCAAAAAGGTTCTTACATTGACTAAAATATATTTATGATGACTAACATTAGATTTTGTACATACTGATCTTGTTGAAAGATGCTACAAGAAAATATGTGCTTGATTGGCCAACAAGGTTCAAAATAATCAAAGGGATAGCAAAAGGGCTTCTTTATCTTCACCAAGATTCAAGACTGACAATAATTCATAGAGATCTCAAAGCAAGCAACATCTTGTTGGACACAGAAATGAACCCCAAAATATCAGACTTTGGTATTGCAAGGATTTTTCATGGTAATCAGCAGCAAGCAAACACCACTCGAGTTGTTGGAACATAGTAAGTAATAACTAGTAATTAGCCCACTAGATAGTTTTCAACACTCTAGGTTTTATTGACTAGTTAAATTCAAACTGTGAATTAATCCTTGCCAACGATTGTGCATTCATTGCTAATGAAATGGTTTATACAGTGGTTACATGTCTCCTGAATATGTGTTGGGTGGTGCCTTTTCGGTCAAGTCAGATACATACAGCTTTGGTGTTCTTCTTTTGGAGATTGTCAGTGGCCTGAAAATCAGTTCATCTAAACTCACACCAAACTTTTTCAGCCTTACAGCCTATGTAAGTACTCTAAAATGCCGATAATTTTGATACCAAATTAAACTTTAGCAGTCAGCAGTATTTTGGAGCAACAGGCATTAGTAACTTTGGTCAGAACTTCATTCTACAGGCATGGAGATTATGGAAAGATGGAAATGCAACAGAATTGTTGGACAAGTTTTTTGTTGACAGTTATCCACTTCATGAAGCTTTCAGGTGTATTCACGTTGGGCTCTTGTGTGTTCAAGATCATCCGAATGATAGACCATCGATGTCATCTGTTGTTTTTATGTTAGAAAATGAAAGCACGCTGCTTCCTGCACCAAAGCAGCCTGTGTATTTTGAAATGAAGAACCACGGAACACAAGAAGCGACAGAAGAAAGTGTGTACTCTGTGAATACAATGAGTACCACAACACTGGAGGGACGCTAGACTAAGAGGTCAAGCTTTACTATACATGATTTCAGCATAGATAATTCTATGTTTTTACAATTTAATGCTTATGATAATGAATTTCAGTGATGTGATATATGACTTTAAATCTTTAATGGAAAACAGTGGAGTTTGCTGCGTGGTGAAGAATGCTTGTGAATATTAATCTTATTGATTGGTATTTATATATAAAAAATGTTACATTGCAGACAAGGTATTGCTTACAAATTTGCAAACACTGTATTTCTATTCCACATGTGGTTGCTTTTATCTGAAGTTAATCATAAACCTAAAAGAATGTGACATGTTTACAAATACACAAATTATAATGGCATTTTTAAAAACCAATTAAACCATTTGTTTTAGCCAAAAGGTCATAAGCCGGCTTTTAATAGAAGATAATAACCAAAGACTATGGTTGGTATTGAAATAGATATCCAAATTAGCAATGCCTGGCCATGATTTCCATTCCATAGAGGCCGGATTTCTATCCATTTACCTCTAAAAAAAAAAAGAAGAAGCTGTACCTGGCCTCAAGTAGCAGGGATGTTGCTGCCGGCGTGGAAGTGGCAAGGGCCAAGGGGAACCAGCTTGGCGTCAATGGCTTGTGACCGCGTAAGGGGACGGGACAGTAGCAGGTTAGGCCCGCCGTCTCTTCCGCCTAAGCCGGCTGCGGTGGCGGTGGCGCCGGCACCTGCCCCCACGGCCGCCGCTACTCCGCCGTCCACCGCCTCAACCGAGCGCTTCCTCTCCTAGGCTGCAACGCCTCCGCCACCTCGCCGAGCTCCACCGGGAGCGGCAGACCGCGGACGCCGGGCGCTTCGACGTGCGGTGCCGACCGTCGCCGGCTCACCGCCCCCCACCGCCGCCAACCACCACTCCGCCGGCGAAGTAACCGAAGCACGTTCGTCTTCGTCCACAGATCAATCGACCTAGGCCCAATAGCCCATCACGAGCACTTTCACGGCCCACGAATCTCACAGTTCCGGTCGCGGACTGGTGGGCCGAATTTGTTCTGGTATTCCCTCGCCGCGGCCCATGCCAATGCCTCTCCGCCGCTGCCCGGTGAAGCACCTCCACCGTCTCACTCTCATCACTGGCTCGGAAGTCAGGACGCTGGGAAGAATCACCGGGAAATATTTGTGGAGATGCACAGCAAAACACTTGCCTGTAAATCTGTGATTAGTTGTGCTGGTAAAATAGCTTGCCTGCCGTACTGCCGTTGCAAGTGGTTCTCCTGAAGACTAGCAAATGCCCTGTGCGTGCTGACTTGCTTCATCAAGCACTGAAAATAAAAGTCATTGAGCAATAAATCGGGTCTTCAATCTTAACGGTGACATACAACTACTAGCGTGTCGTTCTGATCATCTGGCCACTCTCAACGAGAAAATTGGGATTATACTATCGTAAAAGAGTGGTTTCGCTGGAATGCTATCTCTTCAAACTAATTCACTAAAATGCTATCTTAAACTGGAGGTGTTCACCAAAGTGCTATTTTCACTCTTTTGGGTAAATAGAAATTTTTTTCCTCAATTTTAACTTTTTTCTGGACCAAAATACCCCTGCTACGGGCCCACATGTCATACTCTCCACTCTCTCCTTCTCCCCCTCCCCTCTATCGAGGGAGCGCCGGTGGCGGGAGGCGAGCAGTGGCCGGCGCCGCGTCGCCGTCGCTGGCGTGCCGGCTCGACCTCGAGAAGCTGATGGCGGCGCAGCTCGGCTAGCCCGTGCTCGACGACCTCCTCATCCCGTCCTCCTCGCCCGACGCCGCCGCCACAACGGCCTACGACATTGACGCCGTGCAGAGGATCCTGGCCGGCTACCTCGACCATGAGGGCGACGCGGCGGCGGCGCCGCCACGGCTGGACTGCACCACCGACGACGACTTCAGCTCAGCGGTGTCGCCGCCGCACAACGACGTCGCCCAGGTCGGCAGGCTCATGGAGAGCTACCTCGCCGAGATCGCCTCCGACGAGAACCTGTCCATTGACTAGTTCACCGCCCTCGCCGAGCTCATCCCGGAGCACGCCAGGTTCAACGAGGACGGCATGTACCACGCCATCGACATCTACTTGAAGGTTAGAAGCTGCCATTCACATCGATCACTAAAAAATGGCTAAATCCTTCGTTAATCACTCCACTAAATGCTTATGTGGCCGGTGCAGACGGTGGTGCAGGTGCTGTACCACGAGCAGCGGCGCCTCCGCGCGCCATCGCAGCCGCCGAGCACCGCGCCGTCGTACGCCGGTGGCGAGTCGCCGGCGCTGTCGTACAGGCCGACACCGAGCTTCAACGGCGCTGTCGGCCACTGCTCGCTTCCAACCACCGGCGCTCCCTCGAGAGAGATGAAGAGGAGGAGAGAGTAGAGGGAGTATGACAGGTGGGCCCGCATCAGGGGTATTTTGGTCCGGAAAAAAGTTATAATTGAGAAAAAACATTTCTATTTACCTAAAAAAACGAAAATAGCATTTTGGTGAACACCTTCAATTTAGAATAGCATTTTAATGAATCAGTTTGAAGGGATAGCATTCCAGCGAAACCACTCTTTTACGGTAGTATAATCCCAATTTTCTCACTCTCAACACAGGAATACAGAATATCTATTGCGCTATTTCAGGGCCTGGGAAATATAACAATTACGATAGTATAATCCTACTCTTTTACGAAGCTAGCTGCACTAGTTACTCTATACTGCCGACAAGAAGGTTGGCCCAATAATCTCACAACTCTGTTCTATCGTCTCTATGTAGGATTGTAGTGCTTTCCAAGGAATTTACAAGAGAATATGACCAGACTGCATGTAGTCATCTTCATGTTCTTGATTAGTTTCTGCCAATCCGATGACCGCCTAACACCGGCAAAGCCACTCATCTTCCCCGGCGGCGACAAGCTCATCTCGGATGGCGGCGTCTTTGCTGTCGGCTTCTTCTCCCTGACCACCACCAACTCAACCCCAAGCCTGCTCTACCTTGGCATATGGTACAACAACATCCCGGAGCGCACCTATGTCTGGGTCGCCAACCGCGACAACCCAATCACCACCCATACGGCGAGGCTGGCTGTTACCAACACCTCCGGGCTTGTGCTATCCGACTCCAAGGGGACCACGGCGAACACGGTCACCATCGGAGGTGGTGGAGCCACCGCGGTGCTGCAGAACACGGGCAACTTCGTGCTCCGGTTGCCCGATCACCCCACGGACACGATCCTCCCTGGCCTCCCTGGCTTCAAGCTATGGACGAACATACAAGAACCATGAGGCGGTGCGCGTAGTTGCTTGGAGGGGTCGTCGCGACCCGTCCACCTGCGAGTTCTCCCTCAGCGGTGACCCTGACCAGTGGGGGCTCCATATCGTCATCTGGCATGGGGCGAGCCCGTCGTGGCGCAGCGGTGTCTGGAACGGCGCGACGGCCACCGGCCTCACCAGGTACATATGGTCCCAGATCGTTGACAATGGCGAGGAGATCTACGCGATATACAACGCAGCTGATGGCATTTTGACACACTGGAAGCTGGACTACACCGGGAACGTGAGCTTCCGGGCATGGAACAACGTATCATCGACTTGGACGAGCCCATTCGAGCGACCAGGCCATGGCTGTCTCCACTACGGCGCCTGCGGGCCGTTCGGCTACTGCGACATCACCGGCAGCTTCCAGGAGTGCAAGTGCCTTGATGGCTTCGAGCCGGCCGATGGATTTAGCCTCAACTCTTCCAGAGGATGCCGAAGAAAGGAGGAGCTGAGATGCGGTGGCCAAGACCATTTCTTCACCTTACCAGGGATGAAGGTGCCGGACAAGTTCTTGTACATCAGGAACAGAACCTTTGAGGAGTGTGCCGATGAGTGCGACCGCAACTGCTCGTGCACGGCATACGCTTATGCCAACTTGAGAACTATCCTCACGACGGGTGACCCCTCAAGGTGCTTGGTATGGATGGGGGAGCTTCTCGACTCGGAGAAAGCCAGTGCCGTTGGTGAGAACCTGTACCTTCGACTCGCCGGCTCTCCTGCAGGTATGCGCCGTCTCATGATGTTTTCTCTAGCAATTGCCCCACATTCTCCATGAACATGACGATAAATGTCATTCTGCAGTAAACAACAAGAACATTGTAAAGATTGTACTCCCAGCTATAGCATGCCTGCTGATACTGACAGCATGCTCATGCGTTGTACTCTGTAAATGCGAGTCAAGAGGTAAAGCAAGAGATAACAGCTACTTGCAATATGCAGCTGCTAAATGTAATATTGTTGTGTTGACATGTTTTGATATTTATATTAGGCATACGACGAAACAAGGAAGTACTTAAAAAAACGGAGCTAGGATACTTGAGTGCTTTTCATGACTCATGGGATCAAAATCTAGAGTTCCCTGATATTAGCTATGAAGACCTCACCTCTGCAACAAACGGTTTCCATGAAACTAACATGCTTGGAAAAGGTGGTTTTGGCAAAGTATATAAGGTGGTATAAAATTTTACCTTGTAAATTACACAATGTGAGTGTAGCATTCATGTCACTTTATTCTTGTTTAACACCATGTCTCCATGGTAATGGAAATACTCACATGGGAACATTGGAAGATGGCATGGAAGTTGCTGTTAAAAGGCTTAACAAGGATTCTGAGCAAGGGGTAGAGCAATTTAGGAATGAAGTAGTTCTTATTGCAAAACTGCAGCATAAGAACCTAGTTAGACTTCTTGGTTGTTGCATTCATGGAGATGAGAAGTTGCTTATTTATGAATACTTACCCAACAAAAGCTTAGACAAATTCCTCTTTGGTAAGTTTTATCAGATATTAAATGAAAAGCTTGTTTTTCAGAAAAGGATGCATTAAAAAAAAGTCTTGATTTTTTTTTTTTGGAATGTTCACCGGAGGGGAGAGGTTCCCCACCTGAATTTCCATTAAGACAAAGTGCATACTCTAATGGAGGAGTCAACATTATCGAATTCTCTAATGGTTTCATTCCTGTCCATTATCCATTTTCTTGGTAGATCACGCAATGAAGTCTGTGATTGATTGGCAAACAAGGTTTAACATAATCAAAGGGGTAGCTAGAGGACTTCTTTATCTCCATCAAGATTCAAGAATGATGATAATTCATAGAGATCTCAAGACAAGCAACATCTTGTTGGATGCAGAGATGAACCCAAAAATATCAGATTTTGGTATGGCAAGGATTTTTGGAAACAGTGAACAGCAAGCAAGTACTAGACGAGTCGTTGGGACCTAGTAAGTGGACTTGTTCTCTAGCCGACTAGTTCAACATATTCATGTGCTTGAACTTATTCACTTTTTTCCTGCTTGCTTGCAAATGATTTAAATAGCGGCTACATGGCACCTGAATATGCAATGGAAGGCATTTTTTCAGTCAAATCTGACACCTATAGCTTTGGCGTATTGCTACTGGAGATTGTAAGTGGATTAAAGATCAGCTCCCCTCATCATATTGTGATGGATTTTCCGAACCTTATAGCTTATGTAAGTGCATGCTGCTACCAATACTTATGTTAACAATTCGAACACAATATAGTTAAAACAAGTTAAGAAATCTTTACTAATGTTATTACTTTCAGGCATGGAACTTGTGGAAAGATGGAATGGCAGAGGCTTTCGTAGACAAAATGGTTCTGGAGAGCTGTTTGCTTAATGAAGTATTGCAATGCATCCATATTGGACTATTGTGTGTTCAGGACAGCCCAAATGCCAGGCCGCATATGTCATTAGTTGTGTCGATGCTGGACAACGAGGACATGGCACGCCCAATACCGAAGCAGCCTATATATTTCGTGCAAAGGCATTACGACGAAGAAGAAAGACAAGGCTCGGAAAGTTCCGTTAATAACGCGAGCCTGACAGCGCTAGAAGGCCGCTAGACTGTAAGAGATTAAACTCTCAAGCAGTTTCTGCAGTTGTACATTACTACAGTAGGAGCTGAGGTTTATAGATCTTGTAAAAGAATGCATTGCATAAGCAGATTGATGTACCCCTAATCCGATTTGCAACATATGGGTAAAAATAAATAAGTGGTTCCATGTGCAATTCACTCATGAGATGTTGAAAAGAATGACTTGCACAGGCAGTTTTGTTGTGATTTGATCACCTGCTATGCTTGTTCAGGTCTCTGAAAGTCCATCTTCGTTTGGCGGAAGGTCTCCAAACCAAAGTGCTCCCGCAGCACCGAAGGACTGAAAAAAAAAGAAGAAGCTGTTGTGTGAATCTTCAGCGCCTGTGGTTCCTACTTCCAATGCAAATGATGTCTCCTCGTCGCTTCCAAATGGGCAAATCGGCAAGAGATTTGGGGGCAAAAGGATCAAGGGGGTGGTAACCAACCTGCCCTGCCACGATGTGGTGAATCCGTGATACGTCTGCTCCCCGGACACGCGGAACCACTAGCTCTCTCGCCTGGCAACACCGGCGCTGACGCCGCCGCCGCGCCACCTCGCGCGCTCGCGGTGGCGGACGAACCGCCTTCCCGGTTGGCGCCGCCCGCTGCCGGCTCGGTGGTCGGTGCCCTCTTCTCCGTCGTCTGAACTCCACGCGGAAGGGTTTTGTACCTGCGGCCCAACTGGGTCTGATTCGGCCCTGCGTACACGGCCACGGATGGATTGGCCCACATATAGCACCCGCGGCCCATGTTTAATCCATGAAGCCCATAAGGCCAGGCCGGCTGTTTACAGCCCAGCGCTGCCATGGAGCACGTCAGCAAGCCGTTGACGACACAAATTCTGTTTATTATTAATTTTATTTATTGAAATATTTTTTCAAATTTCTATAATCTACACCCCTACCACTTTTAGCAGAACGTTTTTTTTTGACGTGGCACATATTCATTGGTGCATGTTAACGGTCACATAGAAAGAGGCTGAAGTAGCATTCTTACCGCCTTATTAGAAGGTTATATGGGATTATATGTGAAATGATGGCTAGAGCATTTTGCAAGCGGCCATTTCACAACATCTCAAAAGATGTGACAAGGGGTTGCCTGTAAAATAACATTCTCGGTTATTTTTGCAGGTGGCCTCCTTATAGTCTTTTGGGAAGATGTCAAGGCAATTGCTTGCAAAATAGCCGGCCTCTTTTTACGCGGTATGCCAACACCCGTGTGCCACGTCATAAAAAAAATAAAACTCTCTCCTAGACGTCGTTTTTTAGGTGTAGATTTCTAAAAGTTTTCTAGAAAATTATTATGTAAATATTTAAATAAATAAAATTCAAAAAATCGACGACTTGACGCCATCAACTCCTGTGTTGATTAGTGTACAAAGTCCCCGTGTGTCCCAGCGTCATCACGCTCACGCGCAACGTTTTGAGACTGAAATTTTCGTTTTCTTTGTTGTTTTTGTTCAGGAGAGTCAGCGAAGATGTTTCGGACTTCCCGTGTGCCAGGCACAACCGCACAAGTTGCATTACAACACTGACTACCTGCCTACCTGCTGCCTCTCGGCATTGCGTAACGCGCCATGGCGGCGACCGGCCGACACACGCGCATGCCGCGAGGTTTCGCTCTCTTGCCAACTTTTCACGGTCGCGTCTCTCTCGAAAGTTTAATCAGCTGACCCTGATGTCGTAGCTACAGTAATTAGTTTGCGGTTTGACACTGCGTCTTCACCAGAGGGGCAGACAAGTCCCGGTCAGGCGTTACTTCGTTGGCCCACCGTACTAAATTCACTGTTCAGAAAAGAGTCGTGTATGGATTAGTAGCAAAAATCAAAGGTGCCAATTGTTCACGCTTCATAGCCACAGGCGAGCCAAGAACAAGGCCATATGAGATTTACCAGATTATGGCCTGCCTCCCAGTTTTCATCTCCTTGCTGTTCCTCATCTCTTCCTGCAAAGGCGATGACCAGCTCACACAGGCAAATCGACTGATCTCCCCCGGCGACGTACTCATCTCCAAAGGCAGGGTCTTCGCGCTCGGCTTCTTCTCCCCAACAGCCTCCAACCAGAGCTTCTTCCTCGGCATATGGTACCACAACATCTCCGAGTCCGAGCGCACGTACGTTTGGGTCGCCAACCGCGACAACCCAATCACCACCCCTTCATTCGCAACGCTCGCCATCAGCAACAGCTCTAACCTTGTCCTGTCGGATTCCGGCAATCACACCCTTTGGACGACGAACGTCACGGCCACCGGAGGCGACGGAGCTTACGCGGCGCTGCTCGACTCGGGGAACTTGGTTCTCCGGTTGCCGAATGGTACAACCATATGGCAGAGCTTTGATCACCCAACTGACACCCTTCTGATGGGCATGAGGTTTTTGGTGAGCTACAAGGCACAAGTCGCCATGCGGTGCATCGCTTGGAAGGGCCCAGATGACCCCTCCACCGGAGACTTCTCCATCAGCGGTGATCCCAGCTCAAACCTTCAGATCTTCCTTTGGAACGGTACCAGACCATATATCCGCTTTATTGGATTTGGGCCTAGCAGCATGTGGTCTTCGGTCTTCTCATTCAGTACCTCTCTCATCTACGAAACATCGGTGAGCACGGATGATGAGTTCTACATCATATACACAACCTCTGATGGCTCACCTTACAAGCGTCTTCAACTGGACTACACGGGTACCTTGAAGTTCCTGGCTTGGAACGACAGCGCGTCGTCATGGACAGTCGTCGTCCAGCGCCCATCACCCACCATCGTGTGCGATCCCTACGCCTCGTGTGGTCCATTCGGCTACTGCGACGCAACGGCAGCCATCCCGAGGTGCCAATGCCTCGATGGGTTTGAGCCTGATGGCTCCAACTCTTCTTCGAGAGGATGCCGGAGGAAGCAGCAATTGAGATGCCGAGGCAGAGATGATCGCTTCGTGACCATGGCCGGAATGAAGGTCCCTGACAAGTTCTTGCATGTCCGGAATAGAAGCTTCGATGAGTGCGCGGCCGAGTGCAGCCGCAACTGCTCGTGCACGGCCTACGCTTACGCCAACTTGACCGGAGCCGACCAGGCAAGGTGCTTGCTTTGGTCAGGGGAACTTGCTGACACTGGGAGGGCCAACATTGGTGAGAATCTGTACCTCCGGTTGGCCGACTCTACTGGTATGCCCAATTTCTCTTGCCCTGCGGTGAAAATAAAGCTCTTAATTAGATAGCCTGCTCATCGAATTAAAAGCAACATCCATATATACACTTGCAAGGCATGGTATAGAATTTCTGAAGAACTGAATATGCAGAGGTCTTGCCAGGCCAAGATTTTCCACGAACAAAAAAATGTTCACTACTTGATAGGACTCTTCTGAAGAAAACAAAAAAGGAATATATACCTTCTGTTAAAGGAAAAAGAACATATATCCAATGTGCTACTCCATATCAACCTCAAATTTTATAATCCGTGTTCTCTTGGTGGGCCGTATTCTGCAGTTAACAAGAAGAAGAGTGACATCCCGAAGATCGTACTTCCGGTTATAACAAGCCTGTTGATACTCATGTGCATATGTCTTGCGTGGATATGCAAATCAAGAGGTAGGCCAACACCAACTAAGCTTTTCAGGCTGCATTGTTTCTAAGGTAACAATTTATATGAAAGGCTTTCCTGCCAGGCATACACCGAAGCAAGGAAATTCAGAAGAAACATAGACTACAACATTTGAAGGATTCCAGTGAACTTGAGAATGACAATCTAGAACTTCCATTTATTTGCTTAGAAGACATTGTCACTGCAACGAACAATTTTTCTGATCACAACATGCTTGGGAAAGGTGGTTTTGGAAAAGTTTACAAGGTACAAAAGGTTTTACCTTGGCAATTTCAGAAGAAATATCTTTTATATTCTCTTGTTCAATTGAAAGAGTGTGTGCTTGTGCAGGGAGTGTTGGAAGGTGGCAAGGAGATTGCAGTCAAAAGGCTTAGTAAGGGTTCTCAGCAAGGTGTGGAGGAGTTCAGAAATGAAGTAGTTCTGATTGCCAAATTGCAGCATAGAAATTTAGTTAGGCTTATCAGTTATTGCATTCACGAAGATGAGAAGTTACTCATCTACGAATACTTGCCTAATAAAAGCTTGGATACTTTCCTTTTTGGTACGTTGTTACTCACTTATTTGTGGTCGTATAATACAAACATTCTTGAGGATATTCATGGTTAATGACAATTAACTTTGTTTCACATTAATCTTGGAAGATGCTAAAAGAAAATCAGTTCTCGATTGGACGACCCGGTTCATGATAATCAAAGGTATAGCGAGAGGGCTTCTTTATTTGCACCAAGATTCAAGGTTAACGATAATTCACAGGGATCTCAAAGCAAGCAACATCTTGTTGGACACAAATATGAGTCCCAAAATATCAGATTTTGGGATGGCAAGGATCTTTGAAGGAAATAAGCAACAAGAAAATACTACCAGAGTAGTTGGGACATAGTAAGTAACCTGTAGACCACCTAATGATATATGTTTTCATTATAACTAATTCAAACTGCACATTACATTGTTTTTGGAATGATCTAAACAGCGGTTACATGTCTCCTGAATATGCTTTGGAAGGCTCCTTTTCTGTCAAGTCTGACACCTACAGTTTTGGGGTGCTACTGTTGGAGCTTGTAAGTGGCTTAAAGATCAGTTCGCCCCATCTCATAATGGATTTCCAAAATCTTATAACCTTCGTAAGTGGACTGCAATCCTCAACATTTTAATCAGTAAAACATTGCAAAATAAATTGACCACAACTTTCTTGTATATCTTGGTTCAGGCGTGGAGTTTATGGAAAGATGGAAATGCAATGGATTTGGTGGACTCATCAATTCGGGAGAGTTGTCTACTTCACGAAGTTTTACGATGTATTCAAATAGCACTTTCATGTGTTCAAGATGACCCAACTGCCAGGCCACTCATGTCATCCATTGTGTTCATGTTAGAGAACGAGACAGCTGCTCTTCCTACCCCAAAGGAGTCTGCTTATTTGACAGCTAGGGTCTATGGAACTAAAGACACTAGAGAAAACAAGGAAAGATCTGTAAATAACGTGAGTATCACAGCACTAGAGGGACGTTAAATGTTTATTACACCATTCCCTGTTTAGTCTATAAACTTCTGTAGCTTGTAGTTGTACACTTATACATTAGCAATTCAAATTTATACACAGAAAATGTTCTGAGCAATACATTGTAACCAGCATTTTCTTTGTTGCTTGGTTGCATAAAAGGAATGCTTCCATACATCCATATTTCAGAAACTTAACTATTTCTGCTACTGCAGCCTTGGCTTGCTCTGAAATTTGCAGACTAATAAATGCAAATCGTTTGGCCAAATCCTATCATTTGATAGCATTGCATAGGAAAGAAGCAGTCTGCTTACAGGTGACGAGTTTGAACTTTGAAGGGCATCCGCTGCTGCGTTGTCCAAAGCAGCAAAGCACGCCGGCGCCGCCTTATTCATGGAAAGCCCCAGGCCAAGGCGAAACCTGCACACCACCACCAACCAGGAAGCAATACTCTCAATCACAATCCACATTCCACAGTGGAGATCTGGATAAACCCTATTAATCAATGGCGCACTGGAACTCTCATGGATCTAAGGCCTGAAGAAATACGCACCATCTGCGTTAACGGAACCAATCCCCATCCTTCCATGGGAGCGCCGCCCGACGGGAAGCAGCCGAGGCGGCTGCGCCGCTGCGGCATTCAGGATTCGCCAACTGATCGGTCTTGCAAGCTATCGAGCACGCGCAGGCAGATCCGGTTCCATCCAGCGGCGGCGGCGGCGACGGCGGCGACGGCGACGGCGGCGATCTCTGACGAAAGCGAAGTGGGGTGGATGTGACGGGCCGATTTACTGGGCCGCATGGTGAGGAAACGGCCACGATGAACTTTGCAGCTCAGTATGGATATGGGCAAGCCCAGATTGATTCGGAAGCAATGGTTTACGATCCAATTCATGTCCGTGGGCCGAATCCTTCGGCGGCGAGCCGGCGAAGCTTCTCGGTCCGACAACCTGTGCAGCCGGCGGCGCGCCGCCGCCGCCGCCGCCGCCGCGCGCACAGCCTGCCCACCATGCCCGCCCGCCGGTGCCTCCTTGTCCCTCCGCTTCAACCTCCCTCGCCGACGGCCACGACCGGGGCCTCGTCGGGGGACTCGCGTCATGTCCCCTTCGACGGTGCCCTACTCCTACCTCCGCCGCCAGGGACCTCCCATCACAGCCGCCGGCCGTCTACGGCGAGATTTCCCCGGAGACCTAAGGTCCGCTTCAGTCGCCTCCGCCGCGAGCTAAAACCGATGGTGACTTGGTGAGCCAGCCAGTTTCTCAATATTCCCCCCTTTTAACTGTCATACTCACACATGTTCGATGAACTTTCGACTTTGTATTTCTGGATGGAGATGTGCCGATGTATTTGACTTACTGTCCCTGGTAATGAAATTCAAGGAACCTTCACTCAGACGGCATTATGTAGTTGCTGGCTCAAGTTGGGCAGACGATTTGCTGGATGGCCAAATCATTTGAGTCAACTTTGTTCAGCTGGATGAGACCGACCCTTGTTTGGCTTGTTGTTCATAGTTCCTACCAATTGCGTGTCCTCGCTGATAAGAGCTTCCTACAATTGGAGGGAAGAATTGCTTCCATGCTTACTCAACCTTACACAGAATAGAAGGCCTAATGGGCACGGCTTTCGCTACCGTTTTCGTACTCGTGTTCTTGATTTCTTTGTGCAAATCAGATGATCAGCTAACACCTGCAAAGCCACTCTACCCTGGTGACATGCTAATCTCGGATGGTGGTGTTTTTGCTCTTGGTTTCTTCTCCCCAACAAACTCAAATGCTACCTTATATGTTGGCATATGGTACCACAAGATTCCCAATCGCACCGTGGTGTGGGTTGCCAACCGTGACAACCCAATCACTGCCCCTTCTTCTGCCATGCTCTTCATCTCCAACAGTTCTGACCTTGTGTTGTCTGAATCGGGAGGCCACACTCTTTGGGAAGCAAGGAACAACATCACCACTGGAGGTTCTGGAGCCACGGTAGTTCTTCTTAATTCTGGTAATTTGGTCCTTCGATCTCCTAACCACACAATCTTGTGGCAGAGCTTTGATCATTTGACTGATACCATCCTCCCTGGCATGAAGCTCTTGCTGAAATACAATGGCCAGGTTGCTCAGCGCATTGTTTCTTGGAAGGGCCCTGATGATCCATCAACCGGCAACTTTTCCCTCAGTGGTGACCCCAACTCGGATTTCCAGGTTTTGGTTTGGAATGGAACAAGTCCATACTGGCGTAGTGGGGCATGGAATGGTGCGTTGGTCTCTGCTATGTTCCAGAGTAATACCAGCTCTGTGACATACCAGACAATCATCAACAAAGGGAATGAGATATACATGATGTACTCTGTTTCTGATGACTCTCCTAGCATGCGCTTGATGCTCGACTACACAGGAACAATAAAGATGCTGATCTGGAACAGCAACTTGTTTGCATGGTCTGTGTTATTCAGCAATCCCTCTTATACTTGCGAAAGATATGCCTCCTGTGGACCATTTGGTTATTGTGATGCTGCGGAGGCATTCCCAACATGCAAGTGCCTTGATGGATTCAAGCCTGATGGTCTTAACATTTCAAGAGGATGTGTGAGAAAGGAGCAGATGAAATGTAGCTATGGAGATAGTTTCTTGACCTTGCCTGGCATGAAAACACCTGACAAGTTCTTGTACATCAGGAACAGAAGCCTTGATGAGTGCATGGAAGAGTGCAGGCACAACTGCTCTTGCACAGCATATGCTTACGCGAACCTGAGCACTGCCAGCATGATGGGTGACACATCGAGGTGCTTGGTTTGGATGGGGGAGCTTCTAGACCTGGCAAAGGTCACTGGTGGTGGTGAGAATCTGTACCTCCGGCTTCCGAGCCCAACTGGTACTTTTTATCATTCCCTGCCCATCATATGCCTCTACATTGTGATTAATGCCCATACTTACTCCACTTATGCACTGTTAAGTATTAATTAATTTGATTACGCATTTTTTTTTATGCTTTTTAACTTGACCCAGAGCTTTCTAAACTGTTTTATAAAGCATTCTTTCTGATCTATGCTTTCTAATCCATTTCATACTGAATGGGCACCTTGCTGAATTAGGCACTTGTTGCTCTTACTCTTTAGTTGAGGAAGTTATATTAGGAAAGATAATGGTGGTCACGAAACATAGCCTAGTATATTACGACCAATTGTTCAGTTGACACCGATTTCAGTAATTTGTTTTTTCTAGCCGATGCATTTCTTGGTCAGTCCAGTTCATGTACCATTGACAGGACTCAAATTGGTATCCTGCTGCATTAGCAACTTGTGGCCTATCTTTTGGCGTGCCACTTCTGCTACTATGGGACCCAATACTCTATTGCCCAATGTGTAAAGATTTGCCAATTTACCACTTCCTCTGATGTTTGCAGACACACTAAATCTGCCTGTAAAATTCACAATTCATCTGAAGTCTGTAGTAGCATCAAATATGGTTAAAATGAAACATTACTAATAGTAAAGTGCATCTAGTCCATGCACTTGCAAGCAGCTTATGAAGAGAACCTGAAAGTCCCATTCTCTTGTATGGACTATATTTCTGCAGCAGTCAAGAAGGAGACTGATGTAGTGAAGATTGTCCTTCCAGTTGTGGCTAGCCTACTGATCCTCACATGCATATGCCTTGTGTGGATATGCAAATCAAGGGGTACAACAACACTCACATCACTTCTCAAAATGCAGTCCATGTAGTTTTGTTAGTAAAACAATTTCTATATAATACTGTTCTTGTTAGGCAAACAGCGAAGCAAGGAAATCCAGAACAAAATTATGGTACAATACTTGAGTGCCTCAAATGAACTTGGGGCTGAAGATGTGGATTTTCCATTCATTGGGTTTGAAGAGGTCGTAATTGCAACAAACAATTTCTCCAGTTATAATATGCTTGGAAAAGGAGGTTTTGGCAAAGTTTACAAGGTAAGGAGAAGATATATCTTGATATTTCTTTTTTTTTTAATGTCATAGCTTGACATTTCCAGTTAATATTTGGCTTTTACTTGTTTAATTGAACATTTGGTTGCTCACATAGGGAATTCTGGAAGGTGGCAAGGAAGTAGCTGTTAAAAGGCTCAGTAAGGGTTCTGGGCAAGGAATAGAGGAGTTTAGGAATGAAGTCGTCCTTATTGCAAGATTGCAGCACAGAAATCTAGTTAAACTTGTTGGTTGCTGCATTCATGAAGATGAAAAGTTACTGATCTATGAATACTTGCCGAACAAAAGCTTGGATGCCTTCCTTTTTGGTATGTTCTGATTTCCGGCCTTATATTAAATGATTAGTGAATTAGTAAAAATATATACTGAATGATGGCTGACGATACACTTTGTTCATGTTAATATTGGGAGATGCTACAAGAAAAACAGTGCTTGATTGGCCAAACCGGTTCAAAATAATTAAAGGGGTAGCAAGAGGGCTTCTTTATCTCCACCAAGATTCAAGATTAACAATTATTCATAGAGATCTCAAAGCAGGCAATATCTTGCTGGACGCTGAAATGAGTCCCAAAATATCAGATTTCGGCATGGCACGGATCTTTGGTGGAAACCAGCAACAAGCAAACACCACCCGTGTTGTTGGGACATAGTAAGTGATGCATGAATTATCTAATGCTTAATGTGATCAAATTTACATGTTTACTGATTCAAACGGTGCATTCCTCACCGCTTAACAAACAGTGGGTACATGTCTCCTGAATATGCAATGGAAGGAATCTTTTCTGTCAAGTCTGACATATATAGCTTTGGTATTCTACTTTTGGAGATCATAAGTGGCTTCAGGATCAGCTCACCCCATCTCATAATGGGCTTCCCAAACCTTATAGCTTATGTAAGAGCAGCAGAATGCTTAATTTCTTCAGCTCAAACGATGCATACTTTTGTAACTGATTCTTATATTCTGTTGGTGTAGTCTTGGAGCTTATGGAAAGATGGAAATGCAAGGGATTTGGTGGACTCGAGCGTTGTGGAGAGTTGTCCACTCCATGAAGTTTTGAGATGTATCCACATAGCGCTCTTGTGCATTCAGGACCATCCAGATGATAGGCCGCTGATGTCATCTGTTGTGTTCATGTTAGAGAACAATACTGCACCGCTACCTCAACCAAAGCAACCTATATTTTTTGTGCACAAAAAACGCGCAACTGAATATGCAAGAGAGAATATGGAAAATTCCGTGAATGGCGTGAGCATTACAGCCTTGGAGGGGAGATGAATGTTTATATTTGTTTTATCCTTGTCTGTAAATTTCGGCATTTTCTGCAGCTATGCGTTATTGTAGGAATGGTGATTCATTGCTTCTGCTTTTGAAACGAATATAATCCATTATCAACAAATTTTGTATCCGTTGCCAAATGGACGACGGACAATTGTCCTGACATCTATTGTAGATCCTAGTTATGTCAGTGAAATGCAATCATCTTATTAAGGGCGCGTTTGGTTGGAGGAAATTGTTTGGATGGTGGGTGTCGGAGTTTTAGAATGAATTAGGAAGGAGAGTTTGAGAGCAAAATCTCAACTTTTCAATATGTGTTTAGTAACAGTTAATTTGGAGGGGATTCCCTTCTTAAGTATGTCAGGATATATCTGAATTGTATGTCATCACTTGAACTTTAATTCCCACTCAAACTTTGTATGATTCTCATCTCTACTACCAAGGGACGAGAAATAAAAATGAAACTCCCAACTTCCTCCTCTAAACTACCAATCCCTTTTTGTTAAGTCGCCAAACATGCCGTAAGGGTTAGCTCAGAATGGAATGGATGGAAAACATCAGTATAGTTCCATCTTCTAATCTTCTATGCCATTTGTCCATTGCCTGACTGCAATCTAAAACTTGAACAAGCCCATTCCTGCTGCATCGGCCCACTCGTGGGTACGGGCCGATTTGTTTGGACCCAAGTTGAAGAAAGGGCCCGTATAGTTAGTTATTCGGGCCTACCTTTGGAGCGGAATTTAACTATTTGCCACTTTTAGGTTTGCCAATTATTCAAATATCCCTCTTATGTTTGTATTTAATAATTTGTAGAGGTAATTTCTTAACTATTTGCCACTTTTGCTTACGTGTCATGCCACCGTACGTGCCAGCGTGAAAAGCAACGTGGACCTCACCCGTCAGCCCCTCTCCTCACCTTCTTCTCTATCTCCGGTCGCCGCCCACCTCCCACCGGCCCGCACTGACCCTGAGCCGTCGTCGGCCACCAGCCCGCGCTCGCCCATCCCCCCGCCAGCCCCGCTCGCCCCGCACCGTCGACAGTGTCCACCACCACTACTCCTTCTCGTCTCCCCCGACTCCGATCCGACGTGCCTCGCCGATCCACGCGACAGCGGCCGGCGAGTTCGCCGAAGCCATGCCGAGCTCGCCGAAGGTCTTCTCCTCGGCAACCACCTCCCGCCGCGCCACGCTTCGCCGCCTCCTCTCCACCCCGGCCTTCTCCGCCGCATGCCTTCTCTTTGGCCTCGCGGGCTTCCTCGCCGATGCGCTGTCCATTTGTTGGTCGCCAGGGAGCGCGCCACGCGCCTGCTGCCAGGACTCCTCGCCTGCTCTTCGTCTCTGTCGCGTGGGGCCAGCGGCCGACGACGGCGCGGGGCTGGCGGGAGGTGGGCGACGACCGACCGGAGATAGAGAAGGAGAGGAGAGGGGCTGACGGGTGGGGCCCACGTTACTTTCCACGCTGGCACGGTACAGTGGCACGTCACATATGCAAAAATAGCAAATAGTTAAGAAATTACCTCTCTCCAATGGCAAATTATTAAGTGCAATATTTGGATAATTGGCAAACCTCAAAATGGCAAATAGTTAAATTCGGGTCAAGATTGGATCGGTACCCTATCTGCCTCTTCTCATGGGCCGAAACCGCCGAATCCCTCGCCGCCGGCGGTCTGCTCTCCGGCGGCTCGTCCTCCATCTCCTCCGCTTCCCTGACCTCGCTTCGCAGCCGCCGGCCGTCACCTCGGTCGCCGCCGCCGCGGACAATCCCGTCGGATCTACTACAACTGACGGCGACCAACCCGTCTGTGTCCATCACCCATCGAGGTTAACGAGAACTCGTCGAGATCTCAAAGCAAAGCGAGGAGGAGATCTGACATGGAAGCACATGCTTGACTTTCATCAGAGATTCAGAAAAAAAGTGAATAATTTTACAGCTGTGAGCAGTCGGATTTGAGATGCAGCTGATAGAAACCGTTGGAAGTACAAGGGCTTGACTTCCAGTAAATGACAATGTCAGCAAGTGAGGCTCTTGCAAATCTCTCAGTATCAGGAAGGTAGGAAAGCCCCTTTCAAGTGACCATGACCTGTAAGATTTCAGAGATCTGCTTTCTTCAACATTGCAGCCTAACTCAGCCCAATCATCCACATTTCATCACTTTGTCAGCAGAAAAAGAAAATGGCATTCAGCAATAGTATCATATTATAGCTACAAAAACATTGTCTTGCTGATCTTTGTTGGATCTGATAGGTTCAGTTAACAGGTGGCCGAGACTGAGATGAGTTTGCAGTGTAGCCTTCTTTTGTCACTGTCAGGTACTCTCGCAAGCCGGCCATATTGTGCATTCTGGTGGCTAGTCATGTAAAAATGTTCTAACAGAATTGAGCATGCAGAGAACCAATGCAGCTATGTGAGTCTCTGAGCTGACAATACAGGGCAAAGGCAAACCGGGGAGGCAGATGGTGGATGCAATGCAGATGTCTAGCTCATGGATTTCTAAATGTTTTGGTAAATAAAGAGAAAAAGGGTAATGCTCCTTATTGATTGACCAAACTTTTATATATTTTTATAATATATATCTTCTAGATGTACATAGTGGTTCAGTAAGGACTGAATTCTATTATTGTGTTTTTGCGCATGATGTTGAATTGTTCTTGTCTGCTAGCTTTACAGGAGTTCGTCGCATTTGGTTTACCATTTCACTAAGGAGAATAACATGTATGGTTGTAGCTCTCATACAAGTGAAACTTGAATCAAATTCCATGACAGATACACATGATGGTTCACTCAGTTCTAAGAAATAAAGGGTTCAAATAGAATTGTATTCGTGCAGTACAAATATTAATGGATTGGGTGAAAATCAACTATTTGACATATCTCCCTCTACTTTTTGGCACTGAAATTCTTTTGAAGAGCATTTCTGTTGAATTTTGACTCTGTATACCAACCATGAATCTTGGTAAAAAGTTCGTTTTGGGGGTTAAAAGCTATGGTTTTACTCATGCTATTTGAAATTTCAACACCCTCAACAGAACCAGAATTGTATTGGACATGTGGTGCGTTGAATTTCTTTTGAAGAGCATTGGTGTGATAAAAAAAAGTTCAATTTTCTCTGGAAAAAGGGTAAAGGCTTCGCTCATGCAGTCACTAATCCACGCGTATGGACTCAACTAGACCATAAGGGTTGGATGGGAGCGTATCCTATGCACACATGCCCTCACGTGTACACACCATGTACACCAACTAAAAATTATCACAAAAAATTCTAGGAAAATTCATACATGTACTTTCAATAGTATTACATCTACGTGCAAAGTCGCATCTTCAAATTCATTCTACATAGAGAATAACAAAAAAGATAAAATTCTGACAAAATTGCAACCTTAAAACTGTTAGATTTTTTGTTTTTTTTGTTACGGCTAAAATATAATGAATTTGACGTTAAGATTTTAACCCTAGGTGTAATACAATTGAAAGTATGTGTATGATTTTTTCTAGATTTTTTTGTGATATTTTTTAGTTGGTGTGCACGTGTGTACACGTGAGGGCCTGTGTGCATAGGATATGTTGCCGGGTTGGATATGGTGCAATGCTACCAGCATAAGCATACTGGCATATATAGACCAGCCAGTCGAAGTTAGCGTCCCTAACAAGGGGGTCAGTGGGTAAAAGAGATATACGGAATTACCGAAGTCAGTAGTCAAGTCACAAAATGGTAATTATAAAATTATTATATTTGTGAAAATATTTTTCTTGCCAAATTAAATGGTTTGCATTTCCATATATGATAAATCTAACCATTCTTTGATATAATACTGAGCACCGAAATTATAGGAACTTGACAGCATACGTCAAAATATCTTCCTAATATGATTTTATCAATGGATCAATTTGCATTTTTCCTATCTTTGTTCATATAATAATAAAATGCAGTAGATGAGTAGAATATGCCCAAGCAGAAGTGTTCGGCATGCTGATATGCACTACAGAAATGGAATTGTTAACCTGAAAGTTCTGGAAATAATTAAGCAAAAGAAACACATGCACAAATTCTTGAAGCTCTACTTAATAGCAAAACATGCGGTCAGATTTAAAAGAGAAGCAAGCAAAAGGTATCATTAATCAAAGAGATGGCACTTTTATTTGGTACAATCAACAGAGAGAAACCTGCTACATTACTTAATTGATCCACCATTGAATCGAACCATCAATTCTATAACAAATTCTTCCGCAACTACTCATTGATACGATGCAACCTAGCAACCAATCATAAGAACCTGATGATGATCAGTACATAATTCTGTCCCCTCTCAACTAGCCGATTCCTTATTCTGTGATGAACCTGAAGAATGAATCCAAGTCTTCAAGCACTCATTCCAAAGGTTCATCTAGCTAACTAGCTCAGTGCTTTGCTGATTACAGCCACAGCATCAGTACTACTAGGGTTACGAAATTATCATCATACAACTAGTACGTAGATACAATCAAGAAACATCAGATCTCGATTTGTGCTAGCTAGGCGACTATATTAGCAGCTAGCTACTCGATCGTTAATTTGACGCTTCTGATCAGTGTTCTTCAGTTCCAGGACTTGTTCTTCTACCTAATAAAGTTGGCACCAAATGGAGTCCACAGCTCGACGGGCACCTCGCTGGCAACGGCGAACGTGCTCGATATCGGCACCAGACAAAGCCCCCGGCCCTTCAGTGATATCTCGCCGTGCTTGGACTTGTCAGGACTTGAGTTCTGAAACGAAACAAATCAATTGCAGAAGCCATCATCAGCACTGGCTTGAACAGAGATGACACACACAGATCGATCATAAGTACAGTGATCGATCAGAATGCTGAAAAGGAGAGCAAGCATGCAGCATCCAACACTGGCAATACCTTCAAGTGGGGCACTTGATGGGCACCGTTCTTCAAGTATGGAGCACTAAGAGCCTGCAGAAAACAAAACACAAGACAATGTTCAGGTAACACTGATCATCAGTCTCTCTTCTCTGAATCTCTGATGCATGATTCATCTGAAGAAACGTGCGAGTTCGTGCTCCAGGATGCTATAATTAAAGGTGGGGAATCATGGTGTACTTGCACACACTTACACCAACTTGGTCGTGCAGGAACTTGATGTACTCGATGGTCTCATGGAGCACCGATGCGGTATCCGTCTGCACGCGCGCACATCGAGAAGAGAATAAGATTGTGTTGTTTTGCATATAGTGTATAGATCTCGAAAGGAGGAGGAGATCAAAAAGGAAGAACTCTTTTGCACAGAAGATGTTGATGCATAGTTCCAAGCACTCTTGTTGTTTGTAATATAGTGCACATTGGCCATCAAAAGCCTCCCTCACCTTTCCAAAAGGAGAGACTAGTTGTTGGAGCGCTGTGATCCTGTCCCCTAGCTTCTCCTTCCTAACCTGAAGTATATTGCAATTTGCACATACGAACAACTTTAGTAAAGATGCATCTATATCGATCTCTTAAATTGCATGACCTATATATTATTGTGACATCAAATAATGCAGACTGTTTTATACTAATTAAACCAGATTGAGTTCAACTCATGATGCATAGCAGCTAGCTATGTCTCTGTGAGTATCTATCTACCTTGAAGGTCGGCAATGGCGACGGTGTCTCGAGTCTCGGTTTCTTGAACGCTGTCTCCTTCTTGGTGATCACTGAGCTAGAGTCCCCTACTCCTTCCATAGCAGTCTACACGTATACACATAACAAAACATCAATCACAATGCCCTAAAATTAAAGTAGCTAATGACAGAACTAGCTAGCTATCTTGTATGCATGCATCATCTATGTACAAACCTTTAATGCAAGGGTTGCTGCCGCACGCGGCGGCGCCGGCGACGAGCGTTTGGCAGAGCGAACGCTAGCTTGATCTTGCGCCGCCGCCGCCGCCACCGCCACAGCCGCCGGCATGCCGAATCCGGCAGAAGGGTTCCAGAACGGCGCGTCGTTGGTGAACTGGAGTGAATCCCTGGCCCCAACTGCCTGCGCGAACTTGGCAGCAGCTGCTGGTGCGTGTCCCATCTGCTGCTGGTACTGATGATACTGCTGGAGTCCAGCCAAAGCCGGCTGCTGCTGCTGCTGCTTCGCCGTCGGCTCCATGAGGCTCCTCAGCAGCGAGGACTGGAATCCGCCGTACGGCGACGTCGGCGACAAGAGCAGGTCTGAGCCGAAGCTGGACAGCAGCTCGTGGTGGTGACCTGCTTGCTGCAGTGCTAGGTTATTTGATGAGTGATTCATCAAGCTCGACGCGCTCATGTCATGGTGGCCATCTTGCAGAAACTCATGCAGACCAGCACCGTTGTTCCTGATGAAACGTACACAAAATCGCATGCAAACATGTCAGGATCGATCTCAGCTAAGCTAGCTCTCCATATGATATGGTAGCTAGTACGAGTTAATTAATTGGCTTGTATATATAACTCACATGAAAGGCTGGGTCCAGTCGGTGAAGCCGGCGAGCCCCGGCTGCGGCACGGCGGCGACGGCGGCCGGGTCGGGGATGCTCGCCGGCTCTTGGAAGGTCACCGAGCTGTTGTTGCCGGGCGACTCCGACGACGCCGTGGTGGTGCTCTTCGCCTGCTTGCCGCCGTTGTCAGCTACCATGCCATCGTATCCAGCGGCCAGAGCCGACGACCAGGCGGTGTACCCGGCGAGCTCCGTCGTCGTCGAGCACGTCGCCGCCGCCGGTACCCCCACCGCGTTGCTCCACCACACGCCATGAGAGCTCGTCGTACCACCGCCGCCGTTGTACATCGCCGCCGGAGCTGCGTGCATCATCTGATGATCCCCCATGATCGACGACCACGACGATGTAATAATCTCTATCCTGAACCTCGATCGATCCTCCGTTTCTTGGCTAGCTAGTTTCTTCTTGTGGTGGAGAGAGCTAGCAAGAGAGAGTGAGTGCTTGCTTGGTGTGTGGGTGATGAGCAAGTTGCAGTGGTGAAGGGGAAAGCGAGCTGAGGAGAAGTAGTGGAAAGATGTATAGCTTGTGTATATATATATAAACCGTTTGGAAAGAGGGGAGATGAGATCGAGGAGGAGAATTTTGGCTGTCTGACCACACCGGAGATGAGGCGCCGGATAAACCGGCCGGGGGTCGTTGCCGGTCGTCCGGCATTGCGTCAGGTTATTCTGGTGCAACTGATCATGATCCAGCGGTTGTTCAACAACCCACAGAGAGTTCAGTACTACTACTGCACTAATGGATGTTAGAAGAGCTTAATTCCCCTTGGGATATGTGTACTTAATTTAGTTATGTCAGTAGTATATGCATGCATGCATAAATGTAGTCTATGCATGGTAGTCTTAGGGTTTTGACATGCCCTAGCTAGAGGTGGCCAAATGGGCCGGGCCAAACGGGCGGCCCGGGGCACGGCCGAACCTGTAGCAGGCACGGCCCGGCACGGCCTGCTACAGTAACGGGCCGTGCCGGCACGGCACGAGTAGCCGTGCCGTGCTTGGGCCGCTGGCCGAGCCCGTGGGCCGGCACGGCACGGCACGGCTACTGTAGCGGGCCGGCACGGCACGGCCCGCGGCACGGCACGGCACGGCACGCCGGCGGCCCGTCAGGCGCGGACAGGGCGGGCGGCGGTCGAATGGGAAGGCGCCACGTGGCACTAACGGCTATTTGACCGTTCAAATTTGAAAATAACCGTTGGGAGGCTAAAAAATTCATAAAAATTTCGAAAAAATTCCAAAAAATCTCAAATTTCGCCCTATAAATAGGGCATGAACCCCAGCCATTTCTCCTCATCCCACACTCCTCATCTTGTGCTCTCAAGTGTTTTAAGTGCTCTCTTTGTTCTCAAGTGTGCATTTTTTTTTATTTTGACAAAATTTGCTCAAATTTTGTCAAAAATCAAAATTAGTTTCGTAGTTCAACAGTTTGATCGCAGAGGTTTGAAGAGCTCGCAGTTGGAAAGATGTAAGTAATATTCAAATTTGTGTATTATTTGTATTGTGTTTGTGAATTCAATAAATATTCGAAAATTTGTTTATGTCGGTTTAAATTTTCAGAATGGATCCGAACTTTCCATACCAGTCGCCGTCGTTCACCTTGGGTGATTTCGACCCCAACTACATGTCGGGGTTTGACGGTACCTCCGGATCGGCTCCAACTCCACCATCTGTGGAGGAGGTACCGGTTCATACGGCTGTCGTTGAGGAGGTACCGGTTCAGGCGGAGACAGCTTCGGAAGGATTTTCCGGAACCGCGAGCGGAAGTGTTTCGACACACACCGGCTCGAAGAGATCGAGAACCTCCGGTGTGTGGCAAAGCTTCGACGAGATAAAGGAAACATGCCCCGACGGAAGGGAGGTATCGAAAGCCCGTTGTAGAATATGTAGGCAAATTTTATCTGCTCGTTCTTCTGGTGGTACAGGTCACCTCAAGCGCCATGCGGAGTCGTGTGCCAAGAAGCAAGGAATACAACTCCGGCAGCAGCAACTTATGGTAAACCCAGACGGTACGGTACACAGTTGGGAGTACGATCCCATGGTTGCTCGGGAATCTCTTGTCCGGTTAATCGCCAGGCAAGATTTACCCCTGAACTTTGGGGAGTCCCCTGCTTTTGAACATTACATTCAGCAATCTCATAACCCTAGGTTTAAAACTGTGAGTAGGCAAACATCAACTAGAGATTTAGAGAATGTTTATCACAAGGAAGCAACTGCACTTAAGGAACTGTTTAGTACATGTACTTTCTCTGTTAGTGTTACTTCAGATATATGGAGTAGTAGAGCTAGAGAGGATTATCTTAGCGTAGTTGTTCATTTTGTTGATGATGATTGGCAATTACAAAAGAGAGTTTTAGGGCTTAGGTTAATAGATGTCTCACATACAGGAGAAAACATAGCTGAAAGAATTAGGGAAGTAATTAATGAATTTAATCTTGCTGATAAAATATTTGCTGTCACCCTAGATAATGCATCTGCTAATTCTAGGGCTATTGAAATATTGCAACCTTTATTTTGTGTGTATGCTCAATCTTTTCTACTCCATCAGCGTTGTGCATGTCATATAATTAATTTGATTGTTAAGACTGGCATGAAGAGGGTAGGTGACCACATCGATGCTGTTCGTCAAGCAATCGCGTGGTTAACTGCTTCTAACCCGCGGATTGCTGCATGGAAGAGGTTTTGCAATGCGGCCGGTGTGAAAGCTCGTAAGTTTGCCACCGATGCAGAGCATCGGTGGAATGCAACGTATTTAATGTTAAAAGTTGTTTTACCTTATAGTAGTTTACTTTCTGATTTTGTTCAGTCACGTGGTGGCCCAAGAAACAGTGACGGGTCTTCAGTACTGAACGAGCATGTTTGGGCAATTGTCCAAAAATTTTACCAATTTCTAGAAACTTTTTATGATTGTACTCTAACTTTGTCACAAGTTTATTATCCAACTGCTAATATAATTTTGCACAACCTTCTTGAAATTGCTACTTTATTTAAATAATACGAAAATGATGACGTTCTAACTGAACCTGTCTTTCACATGAAACAAAAATATTTGAAATATTGGAAAAATATACCTATGTTGTATGCTCTTGCTTTTGTTTTAGATCCTAGGTGTAAATTAAGGGGATTGTCTGCTATTTTATCACTTGTTGGAGATACTATAGGTGTAGATTATAGTTCTTTTTATACTGAGGTTAGATGTAAATTATATGAGGTTTTTGGAAGATATGAAGTAAAGTTTCAGGAAGTTCGCCAGCAGAGACCCCCTCCTATCCCCACTACAGGTAAGAAGAAGATACAGTGGGGTAGGATTTGGGGTGGATCGTCTTCAAGTTCAATCCAAGGTGGTGGCAGTTCGTCGGCTACAAGTGGAGACGCCTCTTCGCATGTTGTGGCCGAAGAGTTGTCCGGTTATTTGGACAGCGACGCCATCCACCACGAAGCACAAGATTTCAACGTCCTCGGGTGGTGGAATGACCACAAGATAACATATCCTGTGCTTTCAAAACTAGCACGGGATGTGTTGACGGTGCCCGTGTCGACGGTGTCCTCCGAATCGGCCTTCAGTCTATGCGGCCGAATCATCGAAGACCGGAGGACGACTCTGCGCAGCGACCACGTCGAAATGCTACTAAGCGTTAAAGACTGGGAGCTTGCTCGACAACATGCCCAATACACTGCGGACAACCAAGAATTGGCCGCCCAGTTCGAGCAACTCTACCTGGATCCAGACCAACCCCAGTAGAATTTTGTTAGAAGTAGTTCTGACCTTTGAGCTGTACTCTTTTCTTTGTCATGGTTTTCTCATTTTCCCCTATGAGTTTTTACATGACAAAGTTTTTAACGAGGCAGCATGTATCATTGTATCCTGTAATGATATAAACATCCATAAAGGTCCTTACTATTTTTAACAAATTCTTTTGCAATATTTTCGCAAGTGTGGATTTATCTTTAAATTATTTCAAAATAATGAATCACAATCTATATTTTTAAATTTTTCAACACAACAAAAAAATACCATTTTTTCTTTTTTTTAACATTAGCAAATCATTACTTTTTTAAAAAACTTTTATTTCCATTTTTTAAATACCATTTTTTCATTTTTTAACATTAGTAAATCATTACTTTTTTTAAACATTTTATTTCCATTTTTAATTTTTTTTTCCTTATACATTTCCTTTGCTTTTTTTTTAAAAAAAAACACTGTGCACTGCAGGCTGGCGGGCTGGCGGCCTGCCTTCACGGGCCGCCGTGCCCCGAACGGCCCGTGGGCCGCGGGCGTGCCGTGCCGGCACGGGCACGGCCCGGCCATCCACGGGCCGTGCTTGGGCCGGCGGCTCGGCACGTGGGCCGGCACGGCACGGCCCGTTTCATCAGCCGTGCCTAACGGGCCGTGCTGAAACGGGCCGTGCCGGAACCGTGCCCGTGCCGGGCCGGGCCGTGCCGCCCGTTTGGACACCTATAGCCCTAGCTGCTTGTGTACTACTGTAAAAAAAATGTACCAGCTTTGTTTTTTGTCTGGTAATTAATTAGTTGGATCATAATTGTCGTTCCTCAGAAAGAGCATCTGTAAGAAATGTAGGGGGGGTGGATGTGTGCAGTGTAACTCATATAGGAATATAGATTATATTATTCCTTTGGAATTAATTAAAAGGAGATTAGACAAAAAAGAAAATTCCCTTTATTTGTGCCAAACATATCACATCTAGCTATACTGTTGTGCTATGTCTAGAAATTCCTACCTCCATTTCTTTCTTTTTTTTATTTTACGATGTTCCAGTAGTGGTAGCACACACTAGTACTAGCTAGACATGCCATTTGTCAGCAATTTTGAGATTCTCTTATATTTATTTTTTTTGGGGGGTACACAATATTAATATCACTTCAATAATTGATTAATTGATAGCAATATGCATGCATGCTTTTCACGATAGAATCAGGATAAATATGTCGAATCAGTTTAAATTAATGTCTTATTATCCTTCTGCAAATAAAACAAGCAGTGAAAGACTAGCGAATAAATTCTATGTAATCAAAGGCATTGACCTCTCAAAAGAAGTCTTAGCGATAGCAACAGAAACAAATAAAAATTAGAACGATTAGAGGGAATGTTTGATGATATCACCTAACCGTAAAGGGGTAATGAGCTGCGGCACCTAATTCCCGGCCTGTACCAAGAAGTCTTGTTTGTGTGTACCATAGTCTTCATCAATTGCTCTAATCTAACTCTCTACGAATTACTTTCTCGTTGGTAATTATTGTTAATCTTCCCATCAACTTTAGTTTATTGTATAGCATTTCACACTAGAAGATAAACTCAACGTCACAATCTAAACACAAATTACACACGTACCCTCTGACCTCTACAAATTATATTTTATTTGCACGCCTGCTGTCATTGTAGTATATATATGATGTTGCGCTAATTAAATCATGTAGTACTTGAGTGGCATGCAGAATGATATGCACATATACTGATTGTTATATTGTAAGACTAAACGACTTATTAATTAAAGCGGGTATGTGTGAAAGTCAT